AATAGGACTAAATGAAACTAAAAACTTCTGTACAGCCAAGGACACCATCAGCAGAATGAAAAGGCATCCTACAATATGGGAGAATATATTCATAAATGACTTATCCAATAAGGGTTTAACATTCAAAACATACACATAACTCATACTCTTCAACACCCAAAAAACAAATAACCCAATTAAGAAATGGGGGGAGGACCTGAACAGACACTTCTCCAAAGAAGAAATTCAGATGGCCAACAGGTATATGAAAAGATGCTCCAAATCGCTAAATATCAGGGAAATGCAAATTAAAACCACAATGAGATATCACTTCATACCAGTTAGGATGGCCACTATCCAAAAGACAAGAAACAACAAATGCTGGGGAGGATGTGGAGAAAGGGGAACCCTCCAACACTGTTGTTGGGAATGTAAATTGGTTCAACCATTGTGGAAAGCATATGGAGGCTCCTCAAATAACCAGAAATGGAAATACCACTTGACACAGTAATTCCACTCCTAGGAATTTACCCAAAGAAAACAGATTCCTGATTTAAAAATACATATGCACCCCTATGTTTACTGCTGCATTGTTTACAATATCCAAAATTTGGAAACAACCTAAGTGTCCATCAAAAGAAGAATGGATAAAGATGTGATGCATATACACAATGGAATATTCTTCAGCCATAAAAAGAAAAGAAATCCTTCCATTTGCAACAACATGGATGTATCTAGAGGGTATTTTGCTCAGTGAAATACGCCATGTGGAGAAACACAAATACCAAATGATTTCACTTATTTGTGGAGTATAAAAACAAAGTCAAACTGAAGGAACAAAATAGCAGCAGACTCTCAGACAGCAAGGGACTAGTGGTTACCAAAGGGGAGAGGTTGGCTTGGTGGATAGGGAGGGAGAAGGGGATTAAGGGGCACTATAATTCACAATCACAATATAGGTAGGTTGTGGGGAAGACAGTACAGCACGGAGAAGACAACCAATGATGCTATTACATCGCACTACACTGATGGGCAGTGACCACTATAGACGGGGTGAGGACTTGATGATATGCGTGAATTTTGAACCACTGTGTTGTGTATGTGAAACTATCATAAGATTGTATATCAATGATACTTTACTTAAAAAAAATATTATCTTTTTCTTTGATCTTTGCCATTTGAAATACCATATGTCTTGGTGGTGTCTTCCTGGGGTTCCTCTTGTTAAGGGGCTCTCTGTACTTCCAAGACCTGCATGTCTATATCATGGGAAGTTTCCAGCTATCATTTCTTCAGAGACTTTCTACTCATTTGTCTCTCTCTTCTCCTTCTGGGACCACTGTAATGTGAATATTGTTTCACTTGAAGGTGTCACACAGCTCTCTTAACATCTTCTCATTTCTTTAAATTATTTTTTCTCCCTGCTTCTCAGCTGGGTTACTCTGCTGTTCTCTGTCTTCTATCACACTGATTCCTTCCTCTGCTTCCTGCAGTCTGTTATTCATTCCCGCTATTGTATTTTTCATTTTGGTTATTATATTCTACATCTCTGAGTGGCTCTTTTTCATCTTTTCTCTTTGTTGAAGTTCTTGCTGATACCATGATTCCTTTCCCCAGTTGAATGAACATCTTTATGACTGTTACTTATTTATGAGGAAGATTGCTAATCTCCTTCTTTAGTCTTGGTATTTTATCTTGTTCTTTTATTTGGAACATATTATGTGCCTCATCATTTTGCCTGTGTTTCTTCCTTTTATTAGATGTATCAACTATGCCTCCTACTCTTGAAAGTAATAGCTTTATAAAATGCACATCCCATGGTGCCCAGAAGTGCAAGACGCTGCTCACCAGTGCCTGGTGCTCTTTGCAGCTGAGCAACAGGGGCTGGTGGTGGGCTGTGGTGGAGCCCACCTTTCTGTCTGTCAGGAGTAACTGATCTCCACAGACCCCCTCTGCATGCCCTTCATGTGATGTGAGGTTCTTCTGCTCAAGTCATTGCGGGTGGGGCTGTCCTCCGCCTGACAATCAGCAATGGCAGCCTGCTACTGGGCCAAGAGTACCAGGCAAGGAGGATAAGCAGGAAAGGACCAGCAAGGAAGACTCTGAAACTCTGGAAAGTTTCAGAGCTGGTTCCCACAAGCACCTGACCAGGTGGACCTAGGGAGGGCCAAGGAAGCTGGGAAAGCATGTTCTGCCCTCCACTTGCCAGGCAGCAAATCAGACCATTGCTGGGCCAAGTGGACCAGGTGGAGCGGGTGTGCAGTGAAGTTCATCAATGAGGGAAATAGAACATTTAAAGCTGGTTCGCATAAGCACCTGAACAGTTGGTCTGAGTGAGAGCTGGGAAGGCATCATCCCCTGCCCTTTCTCTTCCAGAGAGGGTTCCCTCTGACCCCCGACCATCTGTACACTTCCTACTGCTGGTAAATCTTTCAAACTGCCACCTCTGTGTTGGATCTCAGTGGGACTGACAGAGTGTGCCTGTCCTCCATGAGCAACAGGAGTCTTGGCCCCACAGAGTGCTGCAACTCTCCCTGGTTCCAGCCCTGTTAATGACCAAAGTCCAAGTCAGTGTAGACTTCTGTTCCCAGAGCATATCTCCAGGATCAGGCGTGCCAGATTCCTGAGCATTTATCATCTCCCGCCTCCTGCTTGTGGGCGGGGACAGGGGAAGGGTTTACATCCTGATCAATCATGGCTCTCCCCCCTTATCCTTCTTAATGTAGTCCTGTTTTTTTACCAGGAGTAGATGATCTGTTTGGGTCATTTTAAGAGTTAGTTATATTTGCCATAGTTGCTTCCATGGAAGGAAGTCTTCACCTTGCTGTCCTGTTCCACCATCATTTCTCTGAGTTCCTCTAGATTAGAGTTTGATTTCTTTCTGAAATGGTCTTTTGTTGCCTTCAGCTTAGTACTTAGGTCGGTTTCTGTCATGGCCGCTAATAGCTACTAGTTTTAGTTGTACCTTAATTCACAAATACGATCAAAGGGAAGATCATGTTTCATATTTGTCCAAAAAAATCCTCCAACTTAGTAAGGATGGCTCCACAACTGAATCAAGCCCTGGTCAAGGGTAATTTCATTGGCTAACAAAATCATCAATGTATTTATGCTGATGGGTTTAGAGGTATCACGGGGGCCTCTCTAAACACAGGGTGAGATTAGCTCCACCAAAAGCTCAAGGTTGCCATCAATCTGGGGACAGAAAGAATGGATATTGGAGAGGCAATCACAGTGTCTACTGCAGGCCGTCAGTATGTTTTGATCAAAATTTGCTATTAGCTTTTCAAAAATACAAAGAAATAATTAATGTATTTATAAAATAATAGGATGAGAAAACTTGAACTTAATAATGAAAGATGGTAATAACAAATATTAGCATAAATACATTTTCTTCTCCTGAGGTCAATATATATCTATCATTTCCTTGGTTTACTTTATCAGACTCCTAATCAACCTTCTCCCCATTTATTCCTTCCAATACACTCTATGTTGCAAGTATAATGATATTTCTAAATTTCAAATAAGTACAGGGCCTGTCCATACTTCTCCAGTGGCAATGTTGGTAAATATTTAACAACTGGATTTCCACAGTTTGAGGGAGGGAGTAAGGGTGGGAATGTGACTGTGGCTTTTGTCAATCTCTGAGGTGTAAATACTCCCCACCTAAGCCAATTTCAAGTGACCAAGAACATGTTGACTTGTGCTCCCTAAAAATTTAGAATTAGCTCTCACAAGTCAGTATATATAATACCACTCATGAATTTTCAATTGCATTTTAACTCTGTGTCGCTCTGTCTCATGATCTTCTGTGATGTGTACACTTCTCTCCCAAAACATTATCTTGTGATGTGCCCCTCATACATCAAAGTCAGACACACTAAACTGTCTAGTTAGTTTCCTGAACACCCTCAAACCCCCCAGTTAGACACTTGCATGTCTCCCCCTTCTTTCTTTTCCCCTTCATGGTAGTGACTCCCAGGCATCTTAAGAATTTAGTACAGAAGAAAAGTCTTCTAAAATTTGTCACTGACATCCCCTGCAACCTGTGTTAGAAGCCCTACCTGTGTGCCTCCAGAGATTCCTATACTCTATTGTAGCCCTTATTACTCCATATTAATTACAGGTTTTCTGTGGGTCTACATACATCTCCCACTAGGAGCAGTTTGAGAGCAGAGACTATACATCATTCTCTATCATATGCCAACTCCCAGCACAACACAAAGCACAGAGGAGGCGCTCCCTAAATGGATTAACAAATAAAATGTGTGTGTGTGTGTATGTGTGTGTGTGTGTGTTTGAAGAGAAGCAAAAATTAGTAAAGAAGAATGTGGAAGAATCTTTGCTCTAGATTAACAGGTGCTAAGAGTAATTTATGGGGATGAAGTATGGACATTATAGAGGACTCAGGACTCAGATTATTATCAAGAGAGAGAAATTAACTTACATATTAGAAATATAGGAAGTTCAGCAGATGTGTAAATCAAAACCTAGAGGTATCAGAAGGAGCTTTAACATCAAATCACCACCTTGAAAAGACGGCCGCTGACATCATAGGAGGGTGTAGAAGGGGCCACCGTGGAGGCCACCCCTGCACATGGGACATGTCCCTCCTCAGCCTCACCTGCCACAGCAGGACCAGCAGTGTCAGCATCAGCGAGCAGGTGTGTGTGGGGGGGGTGCCCCTCACATTTGCTGTGCCTCTACTTACCCTCACGACAGCTAGAGCAAAACAGGTCAGAGAGGTTACCCAACTTGCTCAAATTCAAACAGGCAATGTGGCAGTATCAGAATCTAAACTCAGATCTGTGAGATTCCTGAGCCCTCATTCTCTCCTTCTCTCTTCTACTTCTCACTATCCTTTGAAGAAAAAAAAATGTCCTGCTCTAAAACCCCAAATCTAGATCATCATTATGAAGAAGGGCGCACATGAATCTCAGGAGCTGATTGGAATAAAACCTCTGAGGCTTGATCTTCTTACCACAGATACAGTCAAAATGTATCTTAATGATAATGGTGAATTTTTATTTGACAGATTTTGCAATGCTGATGTCAGCTAAAGTCCAGAAGCATTTTTCTGTAATGAAAAAAAATCTGACCCATTTTCTTTCTCAGTGGGTAGTAAAAGTTGCATTGAAGAGAGAACACACGGGTCAGGGCTTGTTCGGTCTGCCTTCTTTAAGTTTTATAAAGCAGTGGAGAAGGTGGTTAAGAAGCAAGAGAACTGATTTGCAAAACAGACTTGGAGTGTGATACAGAAGTTACAAAACCAATAATGCCTAAAGAAGGATGTTTGTCTTCCAAATCAGGACACACCGGTGGGATCATAGTTAGAGGAGAAAGGATTGAGTAAAATGTCCCAGTTTCTCATGCCCTGAGAGTAGGACTGCATTTCATGGGCTCATGGTCTCCTGAGTTCTTGGATGGAGCTGCGACCTATTGCAGATCCGAGGTTGAATTTCCTTGCTTTCAGATGATACCCCTTAATATCCTGGCTTGACGGAGCCAAAATACCCTGTTAAATAAAACAACATCAATTTCCAAGATTAGGATCTCTTCCTATTTTCATCATGATCACCACTAATAATATTCATTTGGTGATTCTTACTGTGCTCAAGTATTGTATACATAGTCCTTAGAGCAAACATCAGAAGAGAATGAAAATGTTCTCATTTTACAGTTAAATTACCTCCAATTTTAAATTACCTACAAAGTTCATGATTTTTTATGAGTATACAAATAGGAAGTGGTAACTTACAAGAAACTAAGTAAACTCAATTCTATCTGTATAAAAATATATGCTCTTAGATATTAAATACACTGTGTCCTCTTGTGTTTTCACACCAGAATTCTTCTCCAGTCTTCATTTCATCATTCACACTTATACTATCTTGAATTCCAGAAATTTCACGAATCATTACCATAGAAAAAAATTTTTTTTACAATTATAAGGGTCAGAAACAACCTCAAAACCTAGAGAGAGGCTCAGTGTGAATTGTTAGTCATTTAAACAGACTCACCTGTGCAGTAAAGTTGGTGCCAGCCATGTGGTTGCTGTAGAGATAGTTATGCAGAATTCCAACAAAGTAAAGATCAGCATTAGAGACAGCAGGCCCTAGGGGATAAGATGCCTTATATCAGACCCAGTGCAAATTCAGAGGAAAAAATGTCACCAGGAAACTGAACTAAAATATCTCCTCTCCATAAAATGAGCAAAGTGAACCATAAATTAGGTTGAAGATACAGATACAGACCAACACTTCATAAGAGACACAATGTCAATCTAAAAACATGGAAACATTGTCCATGGAGAGAATGACACATTGTATTTCTCTATCAACCCACGTGAAGTAATCATGTGGGAAAGAGCTATAGAGGCAAAATTCTGATCCTAATACCAACCTCTACTAATTTGAGTAACAGTAAACTAAGGAGATGAGTAGGCAGCTCAGGAAAATGGAAAAAAATGACCCCTCACTATTTCATTAGTGGTACATTGTATGGTGCTTGAGCATTTAAATATCCCTGGAAATGAAAAGACTGAACTGAGATATTAAACACAAATTCACTACACTGGTGATCCTTCCCTTATCACTGAGGCTCGCAAACACAAAATGGCTCTGGAAGAAAAAACCCCAAATCCAGGGAAACATCAGAGCCATATAAATATAAACTAAGACAGTTAAAAATACAGTAAAGAAATGAGGACAGCAGCTTCCATGAGCAGTGTCAGCAAACAGAAGGGTGAGGAGGGAGTCAGTAAGAACAGCTCAAATCATCGTGGAGAAAGTGGACAAGGTTAAAGGAAGATATTAATTACTAAGCTGATGTCAGAAGAGGGAGAATTCCTATACACACAACAACAAAAATAATCTGGAAAGGTTATTGAAGAACTTCCCTTTGAAAATCACACACTCAAATAAATTCAAAAGTGAAGTCATTCCAAACTTCATTGAGTCATTACTTGAAAAATTATAAATCTCCCTCATTAACTTTATTAAGATGTGAAATAAAATCTTTAAAAATTTTAGTATCTCTGGGGAGTGAAACAGTGGTAGGGGTAATAGTAGTAATAATAATGCAACACAGTGTTCTAATTGCTTATCAAATATTAACTTATTTAAACCTTACAGCACCCCTGTGAGCTTGGTATACCACCATACTCATTTCAAATATGAGAAAGTCACAACCCGGAGAGGTTATCTAATTTGCCCTTCATGCCAGAGCTGGTAAGTGGCAAAGCCAAGATTCACATCCAGGAAACATGGAACCTGATAATTTTCTGTATATTTTAGACTGCTTGAAATATTCTATAATTAAACATAATTTTTAAACATAATTAAAGGCAATTTTTAAAAACATACGTTGTTTGAGGTGCCCATGTAATGGCATAACTCTGGCGATCCTGACAATGGGCAATCCTTCAACTGCTCATTAGTAAGGAATAAATTTACTGAGAGCAAAACAACCCCAACTAGTGTGATTACAGCACCAACAAGGTACCTTCCAATTTTGACTTCTACCTAAAAAAGAACAAGAATTTTAAATTAATACAGGCAGCACACACTTCATGTTGTCTACAATTCATTTAAATAAATACAAATTGAAGATTGTTTCCACAGCCACAATATCCCAGATGCTGGGCCAACATCAATGAACAAAGATCCCACCCCTGTGGAGCTTACATTCCAGGGGCAAAGATAAAGGAAACAACTCAGCACACTAATGGGTAAATTGTACATATTTTGAAGGTGATCAAGTACTATGGATAATGAGTGGGGTGAGGAGGATCTGGGAATAAATCAGGGAGAGGAGGGGAGGCCTGCGACATTAAATAGGAATGACATGCGGGGAGAGTCAGGGAAGAGCTGGGGGACTCCACATCTGGGAGAAGTTCTTGTCACAAAACTGAGTTCAGAGCCCCGAGGCCAGAGGGTTCTGGGGTGTCCCAGGGAAGCGGGGGTAAGGTGGCTGGAGGGCAGGGACCGAGTGACCAGTGTTAGGAAGTGAGGCTGCAGAGTGAGCAGGGGGCCTGGCGGGTCACGGGAAGGACTGTGGTTCTCACTCTGAGGAGAATGTAGAGCCCCTAGAGGACTCTGAGCAAAGGGGCGACACACTTAGATTTATGTCTTTAAGGGAAACACTCTGATGGCTCAATGAGACTAGGTTAGAGAGAACCAGGGATGGAAACAAGCAGAAAGACAGTGGTAGACTGGATGAGGGGCTATGAGCACAAAGATGATGAAGGTCAGACTCAGATTCAGCTTGAACATAGTGCCAACCAGATCTGCTGAGAAATCGGATTCAAGATTGTCATAGAAAAAGCAGGGGTGACTCGAAGGGTTTTGGCCTGGAATCTGGAAGGACGGAGCTCCCATCAGCTGACATGGGGAAGACAAGAGACTGGAGAAGGCCTGAGGAAGAAGATTGGGAGTAGAGCTTTGGACTTTTTAAAACTCTAAGTGGAAGCAATTCGATATGCCCATCTCATGCTACGGAGAGAGACCTAGGCTGGTATTTATGCATTTGTTTATTTCAGGGCTGCGGGCCTACAGATGTCATTTGAAGCCATGAGAATGAATGGCTTCAAAGGAGCATGCAGAGCAGCTGACAAAGACTGAGTTGGGGGCACCAGAACATTGAAAGACCAGAGAGAAGAAGAAGGAAATGAGGTTGAGGAGGAGAAACTAAAAAGACAGGATGAAAACCAGCCAATCTTGGTGTTCTGGGAGGCAAGTGAAGAAATTACTGGAAGGAGGTAGAAGTGACCAGATGTGTGCTAACAGCAGCTCGTGGGTCAAGGTAAATGAGGATGGACAGCTGACCTCTGTGTTCCAATGTGTAAGTCTTCAGTGACCTTAAAGAAAGATACAGAGGAGTGATAGGAGAGAAAGCCTTATTGGGGTGTGTTTAGTCAAACCTGGGTAGACAGGAATCAGAGATGGGGTATAGATAATTTCTTCCAGAGTTTAGCAGCAGAAGGGAAAATCCCTGGTGCCTGCAGCCAGCAGGAGAAAATAAGGTCAAGATAGTTTTTCCTTTTGAGAGTATAAGTGGATGCTTATAGGCTAATTTAAAAGATGTATTAGAAAGAGAATGGGAGTGATGCAAAAAGGAATGGAGTCTGGTATTTATTAGGTCTGGCTTTGATGAGAATCACAGAGAGGTCCCTGTGGTAAGAGGTGAGAATGGAAAAATAAATATTGGAACAAATCTAGTTCATAAGTAGATGTTATAGGAGGGGTCTGAAAATTCTGTTCAATGCCTTGAGTTTCTCAGAATAGAAATCAAGGTGATCAACAGACAGCAAAGATGTGAGAAAAATAATTTGTGTTTGAGGATAGATTATAAAGTGAAATACCCATCTAGGAAGGAGGGGAATGAATAGACTCATATAACTGGATAGGTAATTTAGAGAGCCCACATAACAGAGGCTTAGTAATTGTTTAATGAATCACTAAAAGAATAGAATGTTTGACTTTCAGTTGTGGAGCTAGTGGTGGGAGAGTGTATGCTCAAAATAATTAGAATGGGTCAAATTTAGCAGCAGATAAAAATCAAAAATCCTTTTTTGCTGGGCTTCAGATTTAGCAAATATTCATAGTAACCATCTCAGTACTCATTTTCATAATCTACATAGTTTTTTACCTCTACCATCTGAATGCCATAAGAAAAGAAAATTAATTTTCTTGTGATTACATGAGATTCAGTGTCTCAGATGGATTCACCAACATCCACTCTCCTTTTAATGGATACCTTATTTTTACACCTATGATCATAGAAAAAGAGGACTGCCATCTTACCAATAATCTTTCAGGGATTCTTCCAGCTTCAATGGATGAAGATCCTGTAAAAATAAACTGTTTGAAAATAGAAAATGAAGCAAATAAAGGAATAATAAGTCTCAACCATTTTTCTTGGTCCCCCCTTGATAAATAGACATCTATCAACAGACATACAAACTTGTTTTTTAAATTCATATCCTAGCACACAAAATTGTACTTTGATGTTGTTCATCATTTTAGATAAATAAAATTTTCTATTAGCTCAAATATTGAGTAAATTTATAATATTTTCATTTTGTTTTATGTCTGGCTTTTTGCAGGTTTATGTGAGTGTGCACACTTTAAAAACAAAATACATATACTTAGTATAATATAATTATTTTACTTATATTTATATTAAATGTAAATAAAATGGATTTATACTTATACCTATATTTAATATCATTCTGACATTCTTACCCTAGCTTTAGTTAAAGGTTTGATTTGTTGGAATAGATGTTCTATACTAACTTTTACAAGTTTAAGTGTCTATATCAACATATCCACTAATTTTTAAATTTGTATTTTGATACACTATATTTTCCATGACTCTAATTTTGATAAATTGAATTCTTTACATGTCCATGGTGTTTTCAAACCACCATTTTATTTTTTACCTCATAAAATTCAAAACAACTTACCAACCCACCATTATGGTTTATAAAAAAAGTTGCCCAAATCATGGAGACCAAAGGCTTGCTACATAAAATTCAACTATTGAATTCTGGCTAAACAAGAAGGAACAGGCTTTGAATCTATTTCAAATAGCAAAGAGGTTACCACAGGAAGTTCCAGAGTCACAGTAGCTTCACAGTTAAGAGCATATGCTCTGTGTTAATGTCCCATCCTCAGCTCATATTCATTCTAAGCCATATTATCAAACCCTCTTTGCCTAGAGACATGGATATGCCCATGTTAGTATTACTTGCTTTATAGCTGTATGGAGATAAATTGAAATAATATATAGAAGGGACTTAGATACGTGTCCAGCATAGAGAAAGTACTCAAATTATTAATCATAGCTAAGGTTTTGATGTAATTTTTTTAATTTAATTCCACAGTGACCCCAAGAGAAGATCTTCAGATTATTTCTACCACCTTGGTGAGGAATCTGAAGGAAGAGATTTCAAATATCTTTCCCAAACTCATACTGTTAGTAAGGATTAGTCAGAGAAAGATTGGGCAAATAGAGGGAAGCTCCCAGTCAGCACACAGCAGGGTGTGCATACAGAGGGAAGCGGGGAGCTGGGGGTGTCCTTGGAGGTAAGGCCGGATGTGAAGGCTCTGTGCCAGTCCTGGGCCTTAGACCTTGCTCAGTGGGTGATGAAGAGCCAGAGAGAAGCTTCCAGCAATGGGAATCCAGTGGTCAGACTTGAATCTTAGTGTGTGGATAGTAACCTCTGGCTCCATGACCATGGCTCTTCTTTGGACAAACTGACCTCACATACTGAGAAAAGAAAACTTTACTAATTGAAAAATTGAAATGCTTCATTATTTTATTTTCTACAATATGGAAATTTTCTATTTAAGTGGTCAGGATTCATCATGCGGAGTTCATATGTACACCAGTTTTCTAGAAAAATTCAGAATCTAATTATTCCCTCAAATTGATGATGCTATCTCCCTAAAGATTTTAGAAATGTTAAATCCAAATTACATGATTTGGACTGTATCCAGAAAAAAGAATATAATCTTTGGTCAGGATATATGAAATCATATTTGGGCCAATAGATTTTGGCCAAATTAAGAGAAATTTCCCTTTAAAGGAGATCTGAAGGTCAGTCACTTTGGAAAAAGAAAAGCATGAATAAATTAGAGGAAGACATTACAGATTTCTTTCTTCTTCATTTGACAATGTTCTATTCTCTATTTTCAACTAAATTTTTCCATCTTAGATTTCAGGATAGCAATTTTATTTTTATGTTTTGTCCAAGACTCAACATGTATAGATTCTCAAAGGTCTAGACCAGAAAGAGGAATTTCTGAGTCACTCATCACTGAGTGTGTAACATAACTTTCTTAAAAAAAGACTGGGGTATCTTACAGACCCATGGGTAGAAATTCAGAGGCATAATCTCATGGTAGAATAAACAATCTAATACCAGAATAAACAACCAAAAAAAAGTGACTGATCAACAAATAGTTCCTATTAACCACTTTTTACAAAATTAACCTTCAGGTGAATTATAGTGAAATGACAAAGCACAATAAATATATTTTAAAAATCATCTAGATCCAAATCCCACTTTTACAGATAGCATTTCACCCCAAATAGGGAAAATTGTTCTTCTGATTTTTGGACAGTAATCAACAGGCAACTCTTATCTCCCAGAACAAGTGTCTCTTGCATGTACCACAGGGAAATTCACCAATAGTCATTGTTCATTCAATTTTCTTTGTATGAATAAATTTAATACATGACTATTAAGTAATTTTTTGAGACTTATTTTATACTCAGAAAATGTGACTTGTTTTTATCAGAAAGAATGGCACTTTGTTTTTAAAACCTGTTTGTGTCAAGAATTATAACTCAAATGTGTAGTACAGTATGCAACCTTGAAATATCCTAAGACCAACACTTTAAAGATCAGGCACTTTTCCAGCAGTGGTAATTAAGAAATTATCTATATTCAGGGGAACTGGAATACTCACATATATAGGGCCCCATATCGTGTAGCCTGAGTAGAAGGTAAAGAAAGAGAAGTACCCGAAGAAATTAAACAGGCCTTGTAGGGAAACCAGAAAAACACCCAGAACCAGAATTATTGTTCCACTCAGGATCTCGATGGCCTGTGAGAAAGGGAAATAAATAGAACAATGGTCACAAACTAGTGGACGTTGAGAAAGAGAACATTTTTACTTTCTCAGAAAGGCGCTCTCAGGGCTTGAAATGGTGGAATACTCAAGCCTAAATAAATGGGACAAGAGCTTCCCTGGGAGGTTTTGTTTCAGGCTGTTCCCACCAATTCCATGGTCACCCCTCATCTCACCTCCCCCCAACATCTGTCCATTCTCGCCAACTCCCTTCAGAAGTGGCCAAAGTGGAAGGGAGATCTGGCTGATTACACAGATTGAGTCAAACTATCTCCCACATGCTTTGGGGCCATAGTATGATGGAGGAAGGCAGGCAGTGACCAGCATTCCACTCAGCCTTCCCTTGGCCCAATTTCTTAATTTAAAATGCTGAATATGAGTTTCTAGAGCTCAGCCTCCTGACGTGCGTGGGCAGACTGGAGTCCATTCTCCAAAGTTACATGGTAGGATGTTTTCTACCATGAGATTATGCCTCTGCATTTCTACCCATGGGTCTATAAGATGCCCCAGTCTTTTTTTAAGAAAGTTATGTTACACACTCAGTGATGAGTGACTCAGAAATTCCTCTTTATGGTCATAAACTAAGTTTCTACATGACATTTTCTCCCATCTTGAACCAAATATTTAACCAGGGCTGACTTACCCCAAAGACTAGGAGTTTCTCCTCTAATCCAAGAGTTACATAGGTCATTTGGTGTTGTTAATGAAATTCATAGATGAGAAATACAAAGCTTTGATGTTTTTCCTTTTACCATCAGCTAATAATATATCTTCAGTGCAACAAAAGGGCTCGATTCTTCCCATACATCAAAATTACTCTCCATAAGGGCCTGGGGTAGAATAATGAGAGACTTTAAAATGTTTAATTCTATTTTGTCTTGGAGTAGCAGACATCTTTGGATCACTGTAGTAGGCCTGGGCACTTCACTTCACTCTGGAACAGTAAAGACTAAACCTATTCAAACAGTAAACACATTGATCCTCCCAATTAATCTATGTAACAATATTATCATACCCATTCTAAAGATGAGGACACTGAGACATAGAGAGGTTGAATAACTTACCCAAATTTAAACAGCTAAGAAGTGACTTCAGATTCTATTAGAGACGTTGTATTATAAGGTCTAACATTTTGTAGCCATTATACCATATAGTGTTGTATAGAAGATGTCTTTCTGGGTAACAATACAGCACAGTGCAAATAGTTTAAGTGCTATAGAATAGCCAAGTTAAAATTCAAATTTGGCCACATACTAGCTTATGATCTAGCAAAGAGAACGTCAGTTTTCACTTTTGTAAATCATTTTAATTTATATGAACATTGCAAGGGGCAACTTTGATATAATGTACGAAGTCCCTAACCTGATAAACAGTTGGTAAATATTTGCTTTTAACTTTACTCTGCCTTGTGTCAAAGAGGAATTGGAGTATTGTATGTAAATGTCACCAAACAACCACCTCAGTCATTACAGCTAAAAGGTATGTATCACTACAAGATACACAGTATGTTTACCCTTGAACACTATAGCTCCCTGGTGTGCAGAGTCCTCTGAGAGACAATGATTACAAAATGTGTTACATGCTTTTTCAGCTGTTGAGGTGGATGGTATGAGATTAACCATAAGCTCATTAAATACTGCTGAATTCTGTCAAGACTACTGACTTTGAGTTTAGAATATTATATTAATTCCTACTTTCTGTTGGAAGTTACACGACAGACCCATTTTTTAAAATAACTTTACCCATTTTTGGCAAAAGAAATCCATGCCACTTCCTTTGAAGATAATGTTTGTATTTCCAGTTACATATTGTAGGGGGTTTATATCACATGTATTTAATCAGTAAAACACTAAGAAGGTGAAGGGCCGAACACATTCTAACTTAACCACATTGGCAACTGTTATTTCATACCTAACGAAAAAAATAAAACTGTCAGTTAATTTATCAGCAAAAATGGGTTTATTCATAATAGTAGAAAATTGCATTGGAGACAAACACGCTGTGGGAAACAACAGGCATGGCCAGGGAACAAAGCAGAGAAACACTCTGGTATAAGACAAAGGGTGGTGCTGACAGGTTCGTTATAAATAAATAGTCCTTTGAAGGAAACCGGGAGTTCCAAGTACCGTGGATGCTCACTGCCAGAGCTGAGAGTTTCTCATTGGCTGGGCCGATGCCGGGGAGGAGGAGACAGCTCCTCCTCCTGAGGGTGGGAAAGCAGTATGAGAAGCAGTTACTGTCCTGCAAGGTCCAGCCCTTCCCTCTGGACGGCAATTGGCAAGAGTTTTAGGGCCTGAGAGCTCCCCCTGCTGGCCTGCTGATGCCATGTCAGTGACGAGTCACAATTCGTTTTCACCGGCAATATTGATTTTTAAGCTAACATTAATAAGGTACATGCAACATTCAAACATTGATAAGTGGGAAATTAATAGGATCTTTTACATCCCATTCTCAATACTAAGAATGAGGAAACATAAAAAATTTCACAACAAACTCTATTTTCATGAATGCCTAATGGAATTCTGATGAACACGCACAATTGCAAGCACAGTCAAAAGTAGAATAACCTCCTTAAAATCCCGTTTTCCATGTTTAGCATCACCTTGCAAAGCCCAGGCTTAAAATGTATCCATTGGGAACTATATCTGTATTTTAGATAAAACATCTCATGTGCTAGGATGCATATAACATGGGAACATTACTCCTTCATGATCAATAGTTCCTCGCCTGCCTCCCCAGCTTCCTTCCTCACCCCTCCCTGTCTCGGAGCGCATTCCAGCCTTGTTTTATTTCTCTGAATCCTCCCAAGGGTCAAGATCTCAAAAGTCTTGAGCCCTTCCCAGTACTATTCTCTCCTGAAACCCTTTCCCCTCAAGCTCCACCCAGATAATTTCTGCTTCTCTTCCAGATGGGATCTCAGCCCACAGGTCACACTTCCACGAAGGAGCTGTGTTCAGTCCCCGCCAGGCTGGATGAGGCCCCCTTAGTGGCCCTCAGGTTGCCCTCCACTTCCCCTCTCCTACCACTAACCTGTCTGAGCCTCGCTGACTGGATGCCCATCTGCACCTCGCTGTCTCTCACTGTAGTAACACCGGTCCCTGGCTCAGTGACTGTCATATGTGGGGTACTCAGTGAATACACACTTAATAAATAAGTTATTGAACTTTTAGTCCAGCCTGATGTAGCCATGCTTTACAGATGACCATGGCAATGGTAAATGTGTTCACAAAGATTGGAATTTCACATATTAGAAACACCAGAGCAGTTACGGGAGGAAGACATCTATTCTAACTACATTATTTAGCTTTTTCAAAAAATCATAGCCATTAGGGAGAATTTTTAGCCTTCAGGTAAATAAAATATGTTCTATAATTTGGTCAACTTAGCTTTTTTTAAATGTACAAATATAGATTTCCTAAGAACCCACCAATTAAGTTCACCTATCTAGCTTTTAGTGTGCATCAGGCATCATTTAGTGTTTTACTCAGATTAACCACTTTAACTCCCATAGCACCCATATAAGTACTGATGCTATAACCCTTTCCATTTGACATAGGAAGAAGCAGAGCGACACAGGAGTCAAGTAATTTTCCCGAGGCCACACAGCCAGCAATTTGAGGAGCAGGGATCAGAACCTGGTAATCTGGCTGCATAATATCTTTACCATCCCTCTGAGCTCATGCAAAACTCACTCACCCAACCCCATGCCCCAGGGATGTCCACACCATCCCTCTTTACCAGACCTGGCAGCCAATTTGGGGGAAAGATGTTTGAGTTAATATATCTAAGATGTGTGTGTGTAGGTGTGTGTATATGTGTGTCCATGTCCACATTATCTAAAGAAACAACTATACGTAATTATGTGTAGCCTTTTTTACCAAGGCACCCGAATAACCTTAAAACTCTAAGGGGGAGCCATCCTCATATCTAAATGTCCCATATCCCTACAGAGCAACCAGGCAGAACACTCTGCAGACGTCCTCAGTGGCCCATGGAGCGGCACCTCTAACATACAATAAAGGGGGCTTTCTGGGCAGAGGGAATCTATAGGGTTTACCTTGCAGGCTTCAGGCCTTGAAGACTTCTTTCCTCTCAAGCCCCCTTGTTGTGACTGGGAGAACCAGTAATGACCATGAGTGTCTTCAGGAAACAGCAGCCTCTTCTCACTGAGGCTCACAGTATCTTTGCCCAATGCAACACGTTAACATGAGTCAGCGAACATGCTCTCCTGGCAGCTGGACAGTGATAACCACATGTGCCTCTGAGGCTTCAGATCTCCCCGGGCTTCCAGAAGGCTGGGCACTGATTAGGAGACTGGCATCAGGAGGGAGATCCAACTGCCCCTGAGACATTGCTAAACACATTTTTAGAGCAAGACATACAAGTAGAAAATATGAGTAGAGGGGTGGGAAGTGGTTGTGGGATAGTTGTGGACTGTTATTTGTATAGTAAGAGGATACAGTCAGATAGTAGAGGTGGGACTTGGTCACAGGAATAGAAAAAGGGTCAGACACCAGGACCCAAGAACATCTTGGGGAAGGGAGACTGTGAGATCTGGGGTGTGAATATACAGTGACCCGGGGTCCAGCAAACAGGAAGAGGCCATATGAAGGTGCTCTGTGCCCAGGGCTGCCACCTGAGCCTGGAGTAGAGGCAGACACTAAACCAGAGTCGGGAGGAAATTGCTAAAATGATGATGGCAAAAGTAAGACCCTCCCTTCCTCCTTAGCCAGAGCCATCGCAAACGGAGTACTCAGGAAGAAAGGACAGAGTGCTGTCACGCAGCTGCATCTGGGTAGGTCTCTCCCTGTGCACTCGGTGAAATCTCAACCTGACAGGGAAGGCTTCTTGATTCTTATTGAGAAAAAATTCTCAAACAAGTCTGACAAACGTAGGTGAGGAAGGAATTCATTAAAGTGAGAGCAGTAGGGAATGGCAGCAGCCCTGCAGGCAGCAGAGAACAAGGACGAGCAGAGGGAAGGAAGGGAAGTTCACTGAATCCCTGCTCGGCACAGGGCAGATCCTTGGCCAACTCCTGAAGCCGGGGTCACCTGGTGTCCAGTGTCCACTTGAATCTGCACAGCATGGGAACTAAGCCCCCACTACCCAAGGATTTGGGGGAGCCGCAGAGCACTGGATGGAGCGAGATTATGTTCTGAGAACTTCCCAAAGCAAAGAAAGGGGGCAGGCTGCTAAAAAGCATGATCAGACAGCTGCAGTCCTGTCCAGGTCACCAAGTGGCAGGAACTTGCAAGCCTAAGTCAGAGATCTCAGTAGCTCTTCCTTACTTGCCTGAAGTAGGACATAAAGAGTGAAGACTTGTGCTTAAGTCTAGAAAATTGAACGAAATAGCAAAGTAACAAAGACATTTTCCACTGGGAGGTTTCTTATTCATCTCCCAACAGGCTTGGAAGAGTGCAGAGACAACACATAGTAAGTTGAGCAGCAAGAAGTCTTTGTTTAAGGCAAAGTACACAGTCGAAAAAAGGGAGTGTTGGCAACCTCAGAGAGGAAATGTGCTTAAAGGCTTAGGATTCTGTCTTTTAAGGATTTCAAGGATGGGGTAAAGGCCAGGGAACATAGGCTTGACTTGTGGTCTCATGATGTCTATCTCTGGTGACAGACATTGTGTCACCATCCATAGTTTGTCCTCTAGATATTCTGTAAGATAAACTCAACACAAGGAATTTCTTGAACCTGTTCTTCTCTAAGATAGTAGAGAAGAACAAACAGTGGGGACTTATCATTTAGGACTACTTGCTCTGCCATAGACAGGAAAGGTTATTGGATGATTATCATAAAATACGTTAAAAATCTTACCTCCTAATTCCCTGGTTTTTAGAATTGAATCTTAGCCTGAAGATGGAGTCTCCTGTTCTTACAATGCTATTTAGATCTCAGCTTTTTTTTTATCACAGGCAGGAGAAATTAATCATGATGCTTGTCCCATGTCCCTGCTCCACCTCAAGAGGAAGAACAAGGAGGAAGTGGGCAGAACGGTCCCTCTCAGCATAGCTGTAGATTTAGAGCCAAAGAAGGAAAAAGCTCTGAAAGGAAGTTAAACATAAGACTTCAGTTTTCTCATTTGTAATTAAGATCATAGCACCCACTTTAGAATATAGTGCATGTAAAGATATATGATTGAATGCATGTAGAGGTCTTAGCAGTCAAGACCTCTATGTGCATTCAAAATAAATATATAAGATGGGAAGCCTCTTCAAGTCTTCAGGGAGACAGTGATTATGAGAAATTGCTTTCAAGAGAAGATTCAGAGAAATTTCTTCTAGTTGTGTTGCAATATTCCCCAGTTACAAGACAAAATGTTTTCAAGGAGACTGGATAGCTTTCAGTGCTAAAATACCATAATGAATAATCAAGGTCAATATTCAACTTGCTAATTTCCAGAAGGAAAAAATATATATGTTTTTTTGAATGAAGTCAATATTCTAGCTGTTCATTCACTATTTGAAAAGTGATGTATTTGTCAAGAAGTGCTTATCTGGATCATCAGTAACTAAATGCCATTGTTGCCTTGTTGCTCTCTCCCCGGCACTCATGCTCACAGTGATGTGTGCACATACTTTGTACATTCATGCTGTCCTTGAGAAAGTATATTTATATAGCTTAATATATGTATAAATTCTAGTTTAGAAAAATAATTAGTTAACCATTAAGCTCTTTGGAACATATGGAATGTGTTTGATTCATGGCTTAGTAGTTTATAACTTTGCAAGTTTTGAAGTCACTGCTTTGAATCCACACCCTGCTGAAGTGATATTATTTAGTATAACTATAAAGCAACAAAATTGGGTGGCAGTTTTCTGAGTCCAGGGTCAGAGATAAAGCAGAAAGCTGATTTTGCAGAACCCAAGCCATCCTGTTTCAGAGCACTGAGGAAGAACCAATAAGAGAAACAGAAAGCAATCGAATCCATGCAAGAATGTCTGCTTAGATCCTTGCAATCTGCTACTTTATGTGTCTGTGACCAGCACAGCCTCTCTCCACAATGTCCCCTCTAAAAGCCCTAACTGCTTGTGCATGGGGGTGTGGGGTAGGGCAATGGCTCTTTAAGGAGAGCCTGACATTCCCTCATTTGCTGTCAAATTAATTAACTATTCCTTTCCTTTCCTCAAAACCTTGTCATTTTGTTTTGTGATATGACTTTGGTGACAAGGACCAGTTTTCAGGAACACAGAAACAGCCCTGAGATAGTGATGTAGTGCTGAGACCAACTGCAAAGTGTATGCAACTGAATCCAATTGAGGCTCCTCCACAAGCTTTTAAGAAGATGGGCCGGCATGGAGATCTACTTTTCTTGAGGCCACCCAAGACCAGCCTTGCTTGTAAGTTGCCTTCCTTATAAAGTGCCAAGGGCAGTCTGCACGGAGATGTGCCATTGTGACATCTGAGCTGGAAACAACCAAGGCCCAAAAGACTCAGACTGAAACTTTGACCTCCTTCCCCTCTAACTGCGTAAAAGTTATTTAGATGGAGGACCTGCTCCAAGAGGCGAGCTATCACTACAGGGAGCTATATGTAATGTAAACTAGGAGAGGTAGACAGCGAGGGCTGTGGAAAAGTCCGTTAAAATTCCCCTCTGGGTCCCATTATTTCTGTGTGGCTCATCAAGCATTTTTTATCCAACATTTAGTCTTTCATATTCCTGCAAATTGCTTCCCATTTTCTTTGAAGTCTCAGACCCCCACCTCCCTCTCCTGAAAGCTGACACACATTTCATTGTTTCTGACTGCCTATGCCATGCCCATGTGGATTCCCTGTATATATGTAATAAAATTTTAATTTCTCTTGTTAATCTATTTTCAGTTTGATTCTTAGACCAGCTAGAAGAACCTTGAAGGTAGAGGAAAACTTTTCTCTCAAACAAATGCACACCTTAAGATTAAAAGGAGAAAGCTAAGCTGATGGACAGTAACCGTAATGTGGTTGTTAGGGGGGACCTGATATAGGGGAGAGCATAGTAAACATAGTATTCTTCATGTAAGTGTAGATTAAAAATTAAAAAAAAAAAAAAAAGAAAGAAAGAAAGAAAAGGGGGATTACTCCTTAACAGGATAAAACTATTGGTAAATCAAAGATCAACGCATGCTTTAAATATCCTTAATGTTGATCACTTAAAGGGTGTCAGATGATCAGCTATGGAGGTACTCTTTTCTGATAATATTCCTTTCTCTTAAT